GCTACTAGGGTTTATTATTATAAAGTCAGTAGGTCTTCTATTATTATGAGGATTAGGACTTCATATTAGATGGTCAATAGTTCTTTTAATCAGAAACCCACTAGTACTTGTCAGAAGGCCTATTAGAACCGGTTGTTGTCTTCGTATTACAAAGCTAATAAAACTTCTTATTATAAATCCTCCTCGCCTTCGTATTAGCAGAACACATGCTATTCTTATCAGAAAGGCACTACGTCTTCCTATTATAAGTCAATTTTGGTCTATTTTCAAAAGGTATTTTTATTAGGTCACCATGTCATTTATATAGAAGACCTTGCGTTAAATCTTCTTTGGGAAGATCAATAGGACTTCTCATTGAAGGATCAATCGGTCTTTCATTAACGATCCATAAGTCTTTCCATAGAAATCCAATATTTTTATTCTCTTAAGAGACCAGTGGGTCCTCCCATAGAATACCAGTAGGCCTTCCGATGGAACATCAATAGGTATTCTCATAGAAGACTAGTAGACCTTATTCAGAAGATATTATTAGGTCTTCTATGACCTACTAATAAAAGACCAGAAGGTCTTCTCATGGAAGACCAGTAGGACATCTATTACAAGTCTAGTAGGCCTTCTCATAGACCTACCTATAGATTTTCTTCACAAAAGACAAGTGGATCTTCTGGCAGAAGTCCAATATGTCCTCTAATAGAAGATCAGTAGATCTTTTCATAGCAGATCCGTAGGTCCTCTCATAGAAGATAAGTGGGACCTAATAATATTATTTAGAAAGATGTTATGTCTTCAAATAGAAGACTTTTAGAAGGCCAGTAGGTATAAATGACCAGAAGTTCCTATCAAAGGAGACCAGAGGTCTTCACATAGAAGTTTAGTAGATATTTTCATAGATGACCAGTGGGTCCTCTTGTTTGAAGAATATTTTTGTTATTTTTCCTTTTTATAAAAAATCTTTAATCTTTAATTTGCAAAATCTTTAATTTGTTCGGTCACCGAATATTTACTTTGGATTTGGATGAGTTTCTTTGACATAAAGGTAATAGGATGATCTCCGTCTTTCTTGTACTGTATTTTATACTTATTAGAATATTTATTTAAAGAAATGTTTCGTATCCTTTGGAATACTTTGGAATAATAAAAATAGAAAATCTTCTATAGGCTCACTTTACTATAGGAAAAAAAAAACAATAGCATTGGCCTAAAAATCTATAGCCTCAGCTATAGACTATTCTCGTCTAGAAAAAATTCAATAGCCTCACCTATAGACTTTTTTTCGTCTAAAAACAATTAAATGAAGTTTTTCCGTCCAGAAAAAATTCTATAGCCGAGGCTATTGATTCTATAGTCGAGGCTATATTTTGTCTAGATACCCATAAGCTCTTCATGTTTAATTCTAAGTATTCTTGTTCGGTCACTGGATAATTACGTTGGTCTTGGTTGAGTTTCTTTGACATAAATATAATAGGAAAATCTTCGTCTGCCGTGTATTGGACGTAAGTCATTTTGCTATGAATTCTTGTTCGATCACCAAATAAGTACCTAGTTCTTAGCCCGTTTTGGGTGTGTATCTATCGGGATATCGTCTCTCATAGGATCTAAGTGTATAATGCTAATGTTATTAATGAGTCTCTCTGAAATAAAGAAAATAGAAACACATTTCTCGTATTCGACATAGGGTTCTTAAATGACATTCTTCGGCATATGTTCATAATTTTGTTTTCGTTGACTTAACTCTCTTATTCGGACACCTAAAAGCTGTGTTGCTTTTGGTTGAGTTTCTTTGGTAATAGGAATCACGTCGTCTTCCTCGTATTGGACATACGTATTCATCCATAATTTCTTCATATTGGATTTGTTTGCAAAGGCTTCTTGTTCTGTCACCGAGTAGTTACGTTGGTTTTTGGTTGAGCTTCATTGACATTAAGTATATAGGAAAATCTTTGTGGTCGGAAATCTTCTCTGTCTATAAAGAAATTAAGGATTGGCATAGATCATAGCCTTTACAGATTTTTCGTAATAAAAATGCTATAGCATTAGCCTCGGAGTTTTATCGTTTATATAATTTTTTTTAAGATAATTTTTTTCATTCTTGTTCGGTCACCGAATATTTACGTTGGCTTTTGGTTGAGTTACTTTGACATAAAGGTTATAATATAATAAAAATAAGAATATTTATTTAAAGTATTTCTTGGTATCCTTCTTTTACCGAATAGTAAGAAGAGAGTTTTCTGCGTCTAGTAAAATTATTATATAGTCTTGGATTTAGAGTATTTTTGCGAAATAATGAGAACAAATCTGTTCTTGGCTATAGCGTTTAATAGGACGTTTAAATTGTACCGGATTTCTCCAATCCAGTAGATCTAAATTGTCAATTCCATTACAAATATGTCAAATAAATCCTCATAAAGAAGGTTCTATTGTAAATGCCGTTTAATAACACAGAGCCAGGGCTATATTTTTTATTGCCAAGAAGAAAATAGCTACGACTTTAAAATATTATGGTTTGAGTTTTAAATTGTTTGCTTAAAGTGTAAGGTATTCAAAGTCTGAAAATGTCTCATCAATCATTTGGGTATTGATAAATATTTTAATTAGATCAATCAATAAATTAATTAAACCAAATGATTGATAATAAAAATTAAAACAAAAAAAAACATAAAAATTTAAAACAAACACCAAATAAATTAATTGAAAGATTATTGTCATCAAGTAGTTAGTCATTTTAAAAGTTAGGAAAATTACTGCCGTTGACGGTAAGATGTGAGGACAAAGCCTGCCTTCTTAACGTGTGCCAATCGTCATTACGTTAGCTCTGGCTATAAATCATTTCCTTATCACAGATTCGCATCGCATAAAGGCATTTGACAATAAATGGCTTTTGTGAATTCTTGGAATTCGCCAGCAAACAATTTTTTTTTATGATGGATACGCACTGAATTTAATAACAACAAAATAGACGTTATTAATTAAAATTAAATATAAACAAATAAATGAACACCTTCAATTCATTATGATTTATTGGTAAACAAATATTTGGAAATTTTTATTTTTAGAACAGTTCGTTTTTTGACGTCACTGAATTGAAAAGCGTTTCTAGATTATTTTCATATTTTTTATTTTTGAATGGCTTATCGTTCATCATGTCTGTGACTGACTGATAGGGAATAAATGCAGTGGAAATTAAATTAATGAAATATTAAATTGAATTAATACTTTAATTTTTTTTGATGGCCTAAGAGTACAGGGTCCAATAAATTGATTTTTTATAACCTCAATATTTAATGGCTTCAAAATTATATTATTGAGGAAGGTCGAGGTTTTTCAAATTCTCCACATCGAAAATATTAAATATATTCATTTGCCAAGGACCCTATTTATGCTATTAATACCTAACCTAAAAAATATAAATGTCTGCACATTGGTTATTGACCCCAACTCCCATGAAATATAATCAACGCAAAATGTTCTTTATACAAAATAATTATTAATTATCTGCAATTTGTTTGGCAATTTCTATAAGATATCGGCTATTGTTTCTTTTGCAATTATTTGTTTTTCTTCTTTTCTTGCAAAAATTTGTTTGTCTTTCAATCACCCACAGCCTAAAATATTCTCATGAAGATTCTTAAAAATAACTTACGGCTCAATTTATTTTTAACCAATGGAATTGTTTACAAATTGCAGTAAATAAATTTTAGCCGCACAAAAATTCCTGCAATCAGGCGGAGATATTGAACAATTAATTTTACATGAGAATTTCGAATATCGAAACACAATTGGAACCACAAAATTAGCTGAAGAGGCTATGAAATTTTTTCTAAACAAAAAAAAAAAAAAATATTGCCAAGCAATGGAATTTTTTCAGGACGAAAAAAGTTTATAGCAGAGTCTATGGAATTTTTTCTAGACGAAAAAAAATCTGTAGTCGAGGCAACGATTTTCCCATTACCTTTGTGTCAAAGAAGCTCAATCGAAACGAACGATATAAAAATAAGACGATTTCCCTATTACCTTTATGTCTAAGAAACTCAACCAATAGCAGTGAACGACCCAATAATAAGTAGAACAAATTCTATAGAATTTTTTCTAAACAAAAAAGTATATAGCCAAGGCTATAGAATTTTCTCTAAACGAAAAAAGTCTATAGTCAAGCCTATAGGAGTTGCACATATAGAAGAAAATGTATTGCTAAAGCTATAGATTATTTTTTTAAACGAAAAAGTCTACAGCCGCGAAAAAGTCCATAGCTAAGGCTATACATTTTTATCTATACGAAAAAAGTTTATAGCAAGGCTATAAAATTGTTGGTTATAGAATAGAATTTTTTCTATACGAAAATAAGTCTATAGGCTATAGAATTTGTTTATACGAAAAAAGTCTGTAGCCAAGGCTATAGAATTTTTTTTATGCGAAAAAAGTTTATTGCCAAGGCTATAGATTTTTTCTTTACGAAAAAAACTATAGCCAGGGCTACGGAATTTTTTCTATACGAAAAAGTCTTTAGCAAAGGCTATAGATTTTTTCTATAGCCAAGGCTATAGATTTTTTCTATAGCCAAGGCTATAGATGTTTTTCTAAACGAAAAAAGTCTATAGCCAAGGCTATGGATTTTTTCTAAACGAACAAAAAATTGTATAGCCAAGGCTATAGAATTTTTTCTAAACGAAAAAGGTACTTTCTTGTTCGATCACCGAATAATTACGTTGATTTTGCTTGAGTTTCTTTGACATAAAGGCAATAGAAAACATTGTTTACTTCGATGATGTCCTTCTCTCCCTATAAGAAATTTAGTTTTCCTTTACATTTTATCCCTGAGTTCCCACTTGCTTCATAAATTTATAGCACAACTATTTTCACAGCAGACCTGACCTTTTTCGACGATGGAAATGTCGATTGTTATCAAGAATTCCGTATCTCTTCGTCGCAATTCGTCATCTAGAATACTATTCATTAGCACTTATCGCTAGAATAATAAAAATTGTTACAACTGTGTTTTATAGGTTATGGCAATGATCCGAGAAATACTTCAAACTCTGATAAGAATTCTAGGCAATGGACTTTCCAGTTAAATGCAATTCGCAACTATAAAAAATGAAAAAGAAAATTGCAAAGCTAAGCAGATTTCTTATCATCACCGATTCAATTGCGAAACAGAATAGTGTCAAGCTAAAATTGATAGTTGAAAAAATTTCCGCATTGTATAGGGTCAGGTTTTACAGCAAACAAATATTTTTTTTTCGTATAGAATTTCTATAGCTCTGGCTATAGACTTTTTTCGTTTAGAATAAATTCTACAGCGGTGCAGAAAAAATTCTATACCCTGGCTATAGAGTTTTTTCCGTCTACAAAAAATTTCATAGTCCTGGCTATAGACTTTTTTCCGTCCAGAAAGAAATCTACTGCCCTGGTTATAGATTTTTTCCGTTTAGAAAAAATTTTATTGCCCTGGCTGTAGAGTTCTTTACCTTTTGACAAAATTCTATAGCCTGGCTATAGACTTTTCCCGTCTAGACAAAATTCTATAGCCCTGGCTATAGACTTTTCCCGTCTAGAAAAAATTCTATAGCCCTGGCTATAGACTTTTCCCGTCTAGACAAAATTCTATAGCCCTGGCTATAGACTTTTACCGTCTAGAAAAATTTCTATAGCTTTTTGATATAGTTCTTTCGACATAAAGGTAATAGTATTCTTGTTCGGTCACCGAATAGTTACGTTGATTTTGATTGAGTTTCTTAGAAATAAAGGCAATAGGAATTTGTTCGTCTTCTTTTCTCATCAGGATAATATTGTTAGTTCTTGAAGGAAGTTCTTCTTCTCCGTATATAATACTTCGGAAGTGCCTGTTCCCCTCATTTTTTAAAAAAATGACCTCATTACAAATTTTCCATTTTTTTTATTATCAATAATAAAAATTTTGTTTTTCTGTTTTTGCAAAACCCCTGTAATCTTTTCGGATGTCTAGGGGACGGCGATCATTTTTTCCCATAATAAACAAGCAAACAAACTTCCATTCACAAAAGTGTGGTGATATTAAACGACTTTGCCGCATTTATTGATAATGTCATGTGGAATTAAAATGAAAGTCAGAAATAATAGAGAACAACTGATATCGGTAATAATACTTTGTTGTGAATGATTGTTCCTCAGACTTTTTGTCGGCTGGAGCTATGGTGGTGGTCTGATAAGCGGTAATTTATGGAAATTAAAATTAATATTGAATTCATGAAACTGTATAAGAGCTTCTTTAAGTATTCCGAACTTTATGTATGTCTTGTGTACATAGAAATTCTCTTAGATATCGGTGTATTCCCATTGGTTGTCTATATACTGAGAACCTCATATAGGCCTATTTTTACACTTCTATCTCTTTTCATAATCTGATCTCTAAAAAATTGTTTTTATTTTTTTTTATTTTCAACATTGTCCCAAATTTCAAAACCCGCCAATTTGTTGAGGCATATTTTTTTGCCGAATTAATTAAAAAAATAAATAACTGCGTAGTTTTTCAAAGTCGCGATTTTTATTGTGTCTATGTCTGGAGCCACACCCATTTTTTTCTGTCTGGACAATCAAATCAAAACAAAAAATATAGTAAACAAAAAAGCGTGTTGTACTCACAACTTATCATCATCCAAATTTTGAACATATTTGTTTCGAAAGTTATTTGCTATTTATGCGTATGCTGATAAGCAAACTAATTTACCAAAAATTTGCAATAACAATAACAACTATATATTGAGTATCGAATATGTTATAGTTTATTTTTGTTGTTGCCGAATTTTTGTTATTCTTTCTTTTATTTTTGAATATAAACAAACAGGCTGGCTGGTCTACAAAGTCTTGTCTTTAGCTGTCTTTGTCTGAGCTTTGAAAAATCGAAAAAAACAAGTCAAATTTATGTAGTCGCCGTCTGATGTTGTTTAGTTTTTTATTATTTGTTTATAACAAAAAAGAAAAAAATATCGAATTGGAATTTCGTGTGTTGGAATTTTTTTATTTTTTAATAAGATACCCTATATCGAGTCGAGTGGGAAGTTTAAGGCCTTCACAGAGTGTAAACAATTTTTTTCTAGACGAAAAAAAAAACTGTATCTGATGGTATAGAATTTATTCTAGACGGAAAACCCTATAGCCAGGATTATAGAATAGTCATAGCTACTGATTTTTTTCTTGCTGGAAAAACCTATTGTAGAGATTTTTTCTAGACAGAAAAAAATCTTTACCCGTGGCTATTGAATTTTCTCTAGACGAAAAAACTTTATAGATGAGGCTATAGAATTCTTTATATTATGAAAAAATCTTTAGTCTAGCCTACAGAATTGTTTCTGGACGGAAAAAACTATTACCGAGGCTAGAGAATTTTTTCTAGGCGAAAACTCTATAACCGAGGCTATAGAATGTTTTCTAGACGAAAAAAACTCTATAGCCGAGGCTATAGAATTGTTTCTATACTGAAAAAAGCTTATTGCAGGGGCTGATTATAGACTTTTTTTCGCCTAGCTATAGAGTTTTTCGGATAGACAAATTCGTGTAACCTCAGCTAGATTAGGGATAAGTAAATCGACTTTCGACTAATCGATTAATCGAATTTTTGTATTGAAAAGTCTAAAAGTCGAAGTCGACTTTTGATCTATGAGAAAATCGTAAAGTCGACTTTTCAAGATCGACTTTCGATTTTCTTCATAAATACTTGGTTTTTTATCACAAAGCTCAAATTGCTCAAAAATTGCACTTTCCGGAACTTTACTTTTTCTGTTCACAATAATTCATATAAAAATCAAATTTTTAGTCGATTTTGCAGAAGTCAGTAAAAGTCGAAAATCGATTCTGAACAGTTTTGACAAAATCGAAAAATCGAAAAGTCTAAAAATCGACTTTTTTATCAGAGACAAAAATCGAAAAGTCTAAAAGTCGACTTTTGTGCTCGACTACGTATCCCTAAGCTAGATTTTGTTTCATCTATGGCCTTTTGCTCTAGAATTTGTACTGCATATTATTCTTTTTCGGTCACTGAATAATTACGTTGATATTGGTTGAGTTTTTTTGATATAAAAATAATAGAAAATCGATCATAAAAGTTTTTCTGCGAAGTATTCTTGTTCGGTCACCGAATAGTTATGTTGTCCAGGCTACAGAATTTTTTCTTGGCGGAAATAACGCTATAACCGAGGCTATAGAATTTTTATCTACACGGAAAAAACATAGCCATGACTATAGATTTTTTTCTAGACTGACAAAAATCTATTGCAGAGGCTATAGATTTTTTTCTAGACTGAAAAAATTCTATTGCAGAGGCTATAGATTTTTTCTAGACTGAAAAAACTATTACTGAGGCTATAGATTTTTTTGACTAGAAAAAAATACACTCTTCATATTTGCTTCTAAGCATTCTTGTTCGGTCACCGAATAATTACGTTTATCTTGGTTGAGTTTCTTTGACATAAAGGCGATAGGAAAATGTTCGTCTTCCGCGTATTGGACGTAGATCATTTCTGCAGTGAATTCTTCTTTGGCCAACAAATAATTACGGACTAAAAAGCCTGTTTTGGTTGTGTATATTTCGTAGTATCGTCGCTCATAGGATCTAAGTGTATAATGCTAATATTATCCGTCAACAAATAGTTATGTTGGCCTGGGTTTAGTCTATCTATTCAACATAGAGTTCTTAAATGACATTTTTCTGCATATGTTCATAATTTAGTTTTAGTTGACATAGCTCTCTTGTTGGGACACCCAAAAACTACGTTGCTCTTGGTTGAGTTTCTTTGGTAATAGGAATCCCGTCGTCTTCTTCGTATTGGAGTCATGTCCAATACTAACATGATGTCATTAGGTATTCATTCATATCTTCGTCATAGGCGGTATTTTCGAAAAGGATTCTTGTTCGATCACGGAATAATGGCGTTGCTATTGGTTGAGTTTCTTTGACATAAAGGTAAAAGGAATTAGATATGAGTCACCACAACGATTTCCATCCATATGCATTTCTGCTCGATTACTTGTTCGATCACCGAATAAAATAATGCAATTGCATTGGACTTTTTTTGAGTTTCTTAGACTTAAAGGTGATATAAAAATTTGTTTCTTCCTCGCATGGTCGGTCCAAATTATGACATCTTTCAAAATAACCTCTAAATTTTCTGATAACGAAAATATATGTCAAGCTGTTTTTGCTCGGTCATGTACTCGGCCATGTACAATCTTAATTTTTCCATAGAAGACATTTCTGCTAAGAATATGTGTTCGGTCATCGAAAAATTGCGTTTGGGTTGGTTGAGTTTCTTTGACACAAAGGTAATATGAAAAAAAATTATCGACTTTTGTATTGGACATTGGTAATTGACATTCTTCTTCCATCACAGAATAATTGCATTGGTCTTGGTTGAGTTTCTTTGTCATAGAGGTAATAGAATAATCTTCGTCTTCCTGGTATTGGACATGAGCCCCTTCCACGATAACTTCCATCGTTTCTTCATATCGTTAATTTCTGCTAATTATTCTTATTTCGGCCACCGAATAGTTATGTTGATATTGGGATTCTCTGAGATAATTTTAATTTTTCAGAGAAGACATTTCAGTTAAGGATTCTTGTTCGATCACCGAATAATTATGATAGGCTTGGTTTAATTTCTTTGACACAAAGGTAATAGGAAAAAATGTTCGGCTCCATTTACTAGACATTGGATATTTCGAATATGCTGTTCAATACTCTTTTAATTTCTTCTTAGCGGACATTTCTGCTAAGCATTCTCTCCGAATAGTTATGTTGGCCCTGATTGACTTTCTTTGACACAATATCTAAGAAGATCTTTTCTGAATACAGTAAACCCCGCTTAATTACCTCAGTGAAAATTTCAAGATTTTTGAGTAATTATCCGTGGAAGGTACGGTTATTTTGGGGTAGGTTATTTAGGGGCAAAAAAATGAAATGGGTAATTAAAAGGGGGTAATTAAACGTGCGATTTTGTAAGAGATTGTACTGAAAATAACTGGGTATTCTGAAATCGGATTAATTAACCGTGGAAGGTGATTAAGCGTGGAGCTAATTAAGCGGGGAATACTACTTCATACTTCAACAAAAAGGGTCTTCTTCAG